ACTTAGTTTTATAATCTGCTTGGAAGACTACATTGTTTATTGAGAACACCTGCTTTGAGAAGCTTAGTTTTTTTATATAACTGTATTGTAAGAACTATTTAAGCTCATAGAAAGGCAAAACTATATGTGTGAAGAGTCTAGCCTCTACTTTTAATTTCATAGTTGGCAAAATCACTAAAACAGAAAGCATCTTGAACAACTTAGGAGCAAAATAGAAGGAGTAAAATCAAATGCTGTTTGGTTTCATAGCCATTTGGCTCTAGAAGAACAGATGATAAAATGGACATTTGATAAGATACCAACATCTCAGAATCTTGTATCATGCTGAAGCTGTGATGGCAGCAATAATTCTCAGCTTTCTGTCAGTGTGTGTGTGCAGAAAAGGATTTTTCCGCAGAGGAAGCAAGCAGACAGCTTTTTCTTCATATACATATATACATATATATATATATTCTCCTGAAATCTCAGAGCCCTGTCTAGCATACATCTGGGACATATTTGTAATTACTCTGGAAATGAAACCACTTACAGTGTTTTTTTCTCTTTTTGTATCTTTACAAAAGATGTCTTCATAGGGCAGCAAAAATCATGCATTATTTCAAGGATGTTAGCCTACTGTAAATAAAGCAAAAAACTGTGTATAAGCCCAGCAGAAGTCGCATTTAGAGTTATGTACCACTTTGAAGGCACGACAGAATTTAAACAGAATATCACTGTGTATCGAGAAGAGGTCAGTATTCATTTTAAGTAGGATTAAGTACAATAAGAAAAGCCTTCTTTGGATAAATAACTCACCACCTTATAAAGAGGCCAGCAACTGCAGAAGAAACTTCCTCTTAAAATCTCTTGTGTTCAGGCTGGGGAGATTTCCATTGAGAACATTAATTTTTATTTGGCTTTCAAAATAACAAGGATTGCTGGAGTTGGGAGTATATGTCCATAGGTAAAACTGTAGCATGCAGAGGACAGGAAAAATAAGAAACCAACGGAGAGAAAGCAGGAGAAGAGCTAGAGTATAACAGCAGCAGAGGACAAGTCAGTGATTTTTCTATTTCAATTTTTATCCCTTTGTTCTTTTATTTTGACTTTCATGCTCTTCTTGTTTACTAATTGTCACAAAATTTATAGTATTAGAAGCAAATTTAAAAAACCCGCAAAGCCTGGGCTTTTGGTACATTGTATGTAAGATTAGTGTAGAGCCTGCAGGAACTGTTCTGAGTTACGAATACTGAACTTGCATTGATTCATTCCTTTGTTTCCCTTTTTTTAAAAAAAAAACTTTTCTGGTAAAACACAATAAGAAAAAGAAACTTCCAATTTTTAATTTCACTCAGGTAATTAGTGATATAGCTGATTTTTAGAACTTGCCTGGAAGACAGTTAATTGTAAGGGATTCTTAATTACTTAAATGACCTACCAAGCAGGAAAAAATACCAGAGGGAACTTAATCTGATATTTGGTCATAATGGACTGATGCTGTAGAGTTGGGGTGAAACGTGTGTGTGTCCATTTATATATATATATTATACTTTAAAAGAACAAGCTTGACAGTGAAGGCCACTGAAACTGCTTTGAGGTGTAGTATTTACTATAGGTAGAGCTGCTAGTGCCACCTGTACTTAAGGTTATGTGACCCTTTATATTTCAAGGCTTAACTCTTAGTTACTTTCTAACTTTTGCCAGAGTTCGGTTCAAACAGATTTTTCCATGCCAGATAGATATCTGCTTTGGATTGAACTTTTTGAAAGTTTCAGCCAAAGCAGTTCTGTTCCAAGAATAAGGCCAGTGAAAAGTATGCTATTTTGCTTGTGTGAGAATATTCTGGTGTCCTTCTTTGATGCTCCAGTGCCCCCAAGCTCTGAAGCAAGGATTTGAAATTTGGCAACAGTTCAGCCTTTGTGTTGAGAATGTGCCTTTTGCCTCCCTGTAAAAATCCACCCAAATTTCCAGACCGGTTTACAAGGCTTTGAAAGATTGCCATTTGCATGGGCTTAATAGGAATTTCTTAAAACTTCACAGTAAGCTTCCTTTAGATTTTGTTCACACTGGGAATGCTCCAGGCAGGGTAGAGCTGCATATTTCATCCCACTTCTGCTAGGAATTGTAACAGCTGGATCTGGGTGCTGACACTGAACTGAGAGTGGGCAGCATTGTGTCTTGTATCACCACTGCCTATTCCCATGCCCTCTTCCTTTTCCCTGGTGGTGGACCTGGGCCCTCTGGAAAAGAAACTGTCTCATTCATCTGTAAGAGCATGACAGATGTGGAGGAGAAGAATTTAAGACCCTGTGTGTGTGTGTGTGTGGTTTATACCATTCTTTTGGTCACAGAAAATGTGTGTATCATACTGGCAAAATATTACTTCCTTTCATACTGGATGTTCAGATAACAGGAGTTGGGTTTTGTTGCATTTAAACTTCAGTTTAAATGTTGAGTGGGTATCAAAATTTTAACAAACTATGTAGGCATCAACTTAATAAAAAAAATACTCAAATGTCACAGGGCAGGAATGTTATTCAGAGGGCAGAAATCTAGAGCTCATTTTTTCAAACACTTAAGTCTAACTGATCTCTTGCATGTAGTACATTGTAGTGCAACCTCCAACTTCCTCGCAAGTATCATGTTTTGTCCAACAGGCAGCTATTTGATTGGAATGGGTAAAGGGGTTTATTCTGAGGATGAGTCCAGGATTTGTACAGGAAAGTATGTATATTCATCTGTTACAGAAGTTGATAAATGTAGAGTAAGTGAAGTCAAGATTTTTTTGGGGGAAAAAAAAGGCTTTGAGGCTAAGAATTAAATGCTGCTTGATGAATTGTGTGCCGTCTGTGCTTAGTTGTGGTGTTTCTACATAATGCACTCAAATAACTTCCTAGGTGGCTGCTCATACTGTGTGTTCTAGTGGCTGGTTTGAGAACTCATGTGAGGTTGTGGAAATGCAGACACTTAGAACTGCAGGTAAAGTCAGTGGGAGCTAAACCCCCTGTGAAATCCTGTCTTTTACTAAGGACAAGAAAAAAACAGCTTGGTCTGGAGCCAGGGAACCTTTTAATCCAATCAGTTGCCAGTTTTATGGGTGAAAAAATTACTTGACCTATCTCTGTAGAGAGGTTCAGAAAGAAATTGGTTGCCTTTGTTACCTTTTTGAACTGAAAAATAACACACTATAAATAGAGCATATAACCCCCTCCCTTGATTAGGGATGAAACAAAGCGTTAGTAAGCATGCAATAAAAAAATCTATGTAATAAGATTCAAGTATATTTTTACATTAGTGAAATTACCTTTGCAACTTTTAACTTTCCCATGCTTCCCTTTGTGAGCCTCATAATTCTTTTAAAATAAAAGAGGTGATTTTTCTCTGTGAATTTAGTACTAGTTGAATAAAATATTAGTAGGATCCTCATCCTTCCTGTTTGCTGTGGATGTGGAAAGCATACTTGCTCAGGCTGTTTACTGCTACCTCACCATGATAAATCTGCCCTTTGTAAAGTTCCTTCAACAGTACATAATTTTTTTATCACTTTGAAGAGCCATTACCTGAAGTTACCTATGCAAAAAAAAAAAAAAAAAAGAAAAAAAAAAAGGATTTGTAGGCTTTTTGAAAGGGACAGGTTACAACAAATAAGTTACTGTGTGTTTGTGGAAGTGTCTGGCTCCCAGAGGGAAATGATTTGCTGCTAAGGTTTAGTGAATTTAATACTTTGGAAATTATTTGTTCAAGAGTCTGCAGCAATGGAGAGTTTTGGGTTGGGGTTTTTTGCTTTCTGGTGGGTTTTTTTCTATTTTCTATTTTTTTTCTATCTTTTTTTTAAGGAGGAGCTTAGTCATCAGATTTTTTTACTTGTTTCTTGGGTCATTCTCAGGGTGCTTGCTGCCTCTAAACCAGTAGCTCTTTTGAAAGCTTCAGCATAAACAAGGCATTTAACAGGATGTGTGTCATGTAGTATTTGCAGGAGAAAGATGGGAATTCTGAGCTGCTCAAAGCACATACATCTTCCTTAGAGGAACTCTGCTGCCAAGACCAGCAGTCTTATTTGCTTAGCTCTGTGAAATCCACTTGCTTGTGGACAATTGTTTTGTGTCTTGTTTTTCTTCCCCCCCGCAAGACTTCTGCTTCCTTGTGTGCTCTTCCCATGTGTGTTTTGAGCTGTGCTTTGAAGTTGGGCAACTAGCTTGAAACAAAAGCTTTTACCACACTTCTGCATAGCATCTAGCTTGATTTCAGCAATCTGACATGTCAGTGATGTGGTTTAGAGTTAACAGAATGCTCTTCTTTACTTGCTTTTACATTGGTTTGTGTAGGATTAAAATTAAAAAAGAAAAAATAATCATATCACACTGGGTATGTTGTATAAAAACCACGTCAAAATGGGATTAGAATACGATTTGTCCATTTGGCTGTGCAGCAATTATTAATTGACCAAGCATCTGCCTTGACACATGGGTAACATGAAGTTTATGAGGTATCTTATATTTTTTCCTCTGTCACCTTCCTTTTCCTCCTCCCCAGTCCTCTTAATAATCTTAAGGAATTTCCAAAAACCCAGACTTCGTGTGCATTTAGCTTCCTACATAAGTCATTCTAGTATATTTTAGTTCAGAGTGCCTAGATAAACCAAATTAGAATGCATGTTTTCTGTCATCTTTGAGTAATGTGCTTCAATAACAGGATCCAAATAGTACTGCTTTGACTTTCTTGAATTTATTCTGAACTCTGTATTTTCTTTTAGGGCACAAGATTAGGGCACAAAATGAAGAGTAGATTCTTAAAGGCCAAAACAACCACAACCGCAGTCAACCGGATTAATTTGTATCCAATTACACGAGCAGTAAATTAGCTATGAATTCTCAACCGTACTATTTCAAATTAACTTGAAAAAGCAACTAAAATTTGATTTGCAAGACTCTGCTTTATGAAACGGGTTTAAGATGTGATCATTTATAGCAAGTATGTTAACTGGCTCTGAATGTTTTGCTTTTCTGTCTTGTTTTTGGCAGCAACTTGAACTAGTGGAACCAAGTGGCTGGATTCACGTTCCTCTGACGGATACTCACAAGAAACCAATTCGCACGTTCATGATTCAGATTGCTGTTCTAGCTAATCACCAGAATGGAAGGGACACTCACATGAGACAAATCAAAGTGTACACTCCGGTGGAAGAGAGCTCCATTGGTAAATTCCCTCGATGTACAACAATTGATTTCATGATGTATCGCTCCATAAGATAGAGCTTCCTACAGAGAAATAATAAAGGCCTTTTTTTGACTGCGGTATCATTGCTAAAGTATTCAGGTACTTAAAGAGCAGGGTTTACTTCAGTGTGATTGTATCTTTTATGTTTATACTTTGTACAATTTTGAAATAAAGATAATACTGTGTTACAATATATTGTAGTCTGTAATTTTGCATAACTTGTCCTTGCAGTCTGAGTGCTCTTGTATTATCTGAGAGGAAAAAAATCCCAGACACTTTTAAAAGAACATATTTGACTGGGAATCAGTAATTGATTTAATATAGGCATTTTTGGAGGGTGATTTCTTCCCCTAATGATTATGCCTGGAAATAGTTTGTTCTAAAGTGCTCCTGTTTATTCCTTTACCTAAAAGGTGCTCATTTTAAAGAGCATTCTTCCTGAACAAGACATGGTTTAAAGACACTGCCAGTAGTGTTTTCCCATCATCATTTATGCTAATATGTTATACCCTTTTCTGTATAGGATTGCTTCTGCTTAATGGCTGTCTGGATGGATTTAGCTTTCTTTGTAAGTGCCAAATAGATCCTAGAACCATAGAGTATCTCAAGTTAGAAGGGACTTAAAAGGATCAGCGAGTCCAACTCCCTGCTTCTTCCCTTCTAAAACTAAACCATATGACTTAAGAGCTTTGTCCAGATGCTCCTTGAACTGTGACAGGCTCAGTGCCATGACCACTTCCCTGAGGAGCCTGTTCCAGTGACTGGTAACAATAATGTTTAGTATATACATTATTATAGATATGTCATTATTATATGATAGCTGTTCAAAACAGGAGGAGAATTCAGAATGCTCTCATCCTACAGTAATGTAGGAGTGAATTTGGAACCCAATGAACCTCTAAAGTACTGAGAACTCAAGTGTATAACACAAGATAATCTCAAACTCATAGCACAGAATTTTTTAAATGTGTTTTAAAGTAAAGAGCATTGCAAGCAAAATGCAGGCTTTGTCTACTTGCTTGTGAGTAGGAATATCTAACGCCTCTTCCATGTATCAACTGCAGAATATCCTGCTCAGCAGAATCTGGTCGAACTCATGCCTTTCACCAAGTCTGTCAGTCCATTTTATATAGTGTAAAGGACTGGTTCATTGCTATTCGCTTAAGCAATGGAAGCAAAATATGTACCATTTTGTATTTTTCTGTTAAAAAAACAACTCCCTCTGCCTCCTGGATTTATTTATCTAGTTGTTTTTGATAAGTTATGGATAGACTTGTAAGAAAGGAAATTATTAGGTGTGGAATTTTCCTAGTTTTCCCCCGAAGTTAAGGTGGCCGTTATTTATTTTAGCTTTCTATTTTCAAGCCAGTGATTCTACCACAGACAATTCTGTGGTAATTCTGATCTTTGGGCAGTAACATTTATCTTATAATTGAAAGAAACTTTAAAGTATTCTTTTCTTTTACAATTCACCCTACAAGTGATATCTAAGTTAACATTTCTCTGTGACAAACATTATCCAGTAAACTAGGAAAAAGCACGTCAGCACAGTCTTATTGGGCCTATTTCCTCCCTGCCTTCATTTTTGTAGGCATCATTTTTGGATCTTTAGAGAGCTATTCTTGCTTTTGCTGATTTTTTTTCAGGGCTCTGATGTTCATACATTTAGATGGTTTCTAAATTGTTACTTCTGACAGTCTAGTTGAATAAGCTGAAACCTAGCTTGAATACTTATCCTGCTATTCTGAAATCCTAGATGGTGTTCTAGCGGTTTTAAAAACCTGTGGATACCCCTGTTAAACAGGATGATGCTAAGCTTTACTGTTGAGGAGGGAATCTGTACTTGCAAATTAAATTTAATGTAGGGGTTTTTTTGTAGATGTTAAAGTGTACAAGGTTCTGTAAAGGTTAAGGGTACAGTTACACTTTATTTTTCTATCACCAGCAGATCCAGTCTGAAGCTGCACATTCCCATATTTTGTTTCTCCTTTATTGCCAGCATTTACCATCCCCATGGTTGAACCTCTTCAGATGCTTCCATTGCTGTTCACTAAACAGTTGGATCCTCAGTTCTTCCTTGGCCCTTTAAAATAAGTATAGTCTTAGTATTGGGTGAAAGCAAGTAATCTGTGGGAAGACCCTGGGACTGAACAGAATTGTGATGAAGAGAGTGGGAGCAGATTAAAATATAAAAATGCAAACTCATTACTACAGTTTGTATCTTGCTCTTTGATGTTCAGTGTCACTTGGAAATGAGTGCAGTAGCCATTCTAGACCCATATTAAGTATTTTCTGTGTTGCTTTGTAACAGTTGTGTATACATTGCATTGGTATTTAACATCTGTGGAATTACATTCGATTTTAACATTTTTGGTGCCTGGTTACATAGGGCTGCTGACTATTTCAGCAATGAAAATAAAGCAGCAAGTTATTGCCATTGTGTATTAATACAGTGCTTAGTATTTGATTTGGGACAAACAAACTGGTCTGCCAAATCATTGCATTGTTTTTAGCTGCTACTTTTTTTCCATGATCGTTATTTTCAGACACACAGTTGTCTAGAACCTTACCACTCTCTTTTATAAGAAACATCTGATAAATACTGATTAGTAGAAGTAATATTGAAATAAATGACAGACAAGATGGAAGATATATTTGTTCTAAGAAATCATGTCTTGGCTGTCATCTGAATCGTTACTTCAAATAGGAGTAATTTAGGGATTTTAAAACTTCTTGTTGAAGATACCATACTAGGCCTTTCTGCCTTGCAGAACAGAAGTTTGATTCTTTGTATGAGAGAAAAAAACCTTCATTTTAATTAAGCTTTAGCTTATTTCTTTTGTAGACACTGAGAGAGGTAACCGAGTGCCCAGGATCTTGAGGAGCTCCTGTTGAAATAAACAGGAGTAACTGTGTTTTGATTAAGTCATGTCTGTGTGTCTTCTTAGCACCACAGTGTAAACAAAAAAGGCAGATGACAGGAGAGGAAGAAAAGAGGTATTTGCTGCTCCTGGTTTCTAAAATGGAGAACAGCAAAACATTTATGTTTTGTTTAAGCTCACATAAGGAATCTGTGGCGGAGCTGAAAGTTGAAGCCATATTGCCATTATCCATCTTCTATTTCACTGCAAAGCTGATGCTCAGATAATTATACTGTTTTAAAGACAAATTTTTCAGTAATGCAATTTCTGTATGTAATTCCATTTTGAAATTTAAACTCTATTTTGGCTTTTGCTGCTTTAGTTTAGTCTGTAGGGAAGATACTTTTGCCAACATGCTGATTATAGATCCACAACTCTTAGCTGCTGCCTTTGTGCTTGCTCTTACCTTACCAAAAAGGCATAGCATACTTTTTAGTGAAAGAGGGATAAGCTGCCTTAGATTTTATATGGGACACTTGACACGAGATTTGTAGTAGCTTGCAGTCTGTTTTGAAGAGCTGTGTACATGCCATTTTTCCATGCTTTGTTTGGTGTAAATGTAGAATACTGGATTTTATTGATTATTTTTTTAATAGCTGCCCTGTATATGAGGCTTCAGGTGTCTCTTACACAGACAGTTACTTAGACATCAGTGATCTGAATAAAACATCACTTGTCACCCAGTTCTCTAGTTACCCTGATCTTCATAGATAGGCATGCTGCTAAGCTGGGGGGTGCTTGGAGCTGTTATTCAAGCTTGAGTTAGTGATAACCCAATATGAAGACTCAGACTAGATGTTTACTGAACAGTTGGCATGTAGGTACCTGTCGGAGAATCAAAGGCTTAATCTGCCATGAACGCAGTATGAGAGATGGACTGAAGTGAGTCTTAACTGTTGCTACTTGTTTTTTTCATCTGTGTTAAAACAGTCTAAGGGAAGTAATCGAAACATTATTTAGGCTTGAAATCTGTTTATATGCTGGAGAGAGAGCCAGCTGTTCAGATCACTGTCTCTGATTAGCAAAAACGCGTTAACTTGTGCGTAACAAATGAAGTGATGGAAGAGACTGAAGGACCATGGAGAGCTACCGGTTAGTGGGAAGGCAAGCCATTACTTCACGTAATAGAGCAAGCCACATCTCTAGGCAGCAGGCCATTGCTAGAACAATCCCCACCTTTCTCAAACAATAGCCAGCAATAATTGTAGATGTTTGGACTCAAGAACTGCAAGTGAAACAGATGCTCAGGCAATTTATGCCTCCACTTGTTGAAGTAAGTTGGGTGCTACAACCCCAAGTGCCACTTGAAGAAAGCTAGGGTGACAAGACTGGATCTAGTAAGCAGAGCTGGATTGTATTACATCCTATAAAGAATAAAGGAGAGTCAGAAGCTGGTGGAGTAAACTTCTCAGGAAATCACAAAGACTTTAGACATTTGTCAACCATAAATGCGTGTCTTTGTCCCACTTCAGTCTGCACTGGTGCGGCCTCACATTGAGTACGGTGTGCTGTTTTGGGCACCACAATAGAGAAAAGACATTAGGCTCATAAAGAGTGTCCAAACAATGGCCACAAGGATGGTGAAGGACCTTGAGGGGAAGCCATAAGAGGAGCAGCTGAGGGCACTGTTCATTCTCAGGGAGAGGAGACTGAGGGGAGACCTCACTGCAGTTACAACTTCCTCGTGAGGGGAAGAGGAGGGGCAGGCACTGATCTCTGCTTTATGGTAACCAGTGACAGCACCCAAGGGAGTGGCCTGAAGTTGTGTCAGTGGAGGTTCAGCTTGGGTATCAGGAAAAGGTTCTTCCCCCGGAGCGTGGTTGGGCACCGGAACAGGCTCCCCAAGGAAGTGGTCACAGCACCGAGCCTGCCAGAGTTGGAGAAGCATTTGTACAAGGCTCTTGGGTACATGGTGTGACTCTTGGGCTGTCCTATGCAGGGCCAGGAGTTGGAGTCGATGATCCTGATTTGTCCCTTCCAATCCTGCATATTCTGTGATTCTTTGTTTCAAAATGGCCAGTTTTTCTATAAACCATATTTTCAGGATGGATCTGGATTAGTAATATACAAAGCAAGAGTTCATTGCTCTGGCAGATCTAAATGAAAGAATAAATGGTCATCTCAATGTTACTGTGTTTTGGTATGCAAATGAATCATGGAGATAATTTTTAGTGGATATTTTTCTTGAATTTACCAACCAGCTCTGCAGCTTTAGTAGAATGCATCTTAATTCTTCGGAATCATTGGAGTGACATCAGCATGTACAGAAAT